ATGAATAAATAAAAGCATAAATACATACATACATACATACATGTAGTCCCTTAGATATAAGTTATGAGAACTTGGAAGCTTTGAATGTAATCTAGAAAGAGAAGTGGTAATACAAGTTGCAAATAAATGTGTGAGTAAACACAAATAAAAGCTAGACCCACAGATCTATACCACAATTTGTACAGAAATTATGTCAGTGATAAATGCATTATCATATCCACAAGCATATACTAACAAATAAATGTTACATATATACATTGCATTTAAAATGGTTCTTCTTTATATTAAAGGTCCAGAATGAACCATTTTTATGTACAGACACAGCGGATCACCTTCCATGCAGTAGAGGGTGAAGCAAGGAAGGTGCCATTTGCAAATACGCCGCTAGATACCGCTAAATCCTACACACTGGACTTTTAATACTTAATTCATGAAGTTGGTCAAGTTGAAATGGCTACATAGCTGGCTGATAAAAACACTCATACACCGTATTTTAGAACATTTATAAGAAAAACAAAAATTCTCATTAATATTTCACATGTATTGTAGTTTTACACAACAAATGAAACCAATCCATATGCAGATTTTATCATTTGTAAATCAATTAAAAGAAAGAAAAAAAATTTAATTATAAAATAAAATGATAAAATAACATACACTTAAAATTCTAATAAAAATATTTTTTGTTTCTATCTCATGAAACTGCATTGCTGCTTTTATTGGGACTCTGCAGTAATCAGCCATTTATTCAGTTTGCAGAACTACTGATCATGAAGCAAAATCACAATGAACTCAGTTCATGGCCATCTTTTTATTCTATGCTGCCAAGGTAATGCATTAGCCACACAAATAACTGGCCATTTCTTTGTTGCCCCGGTTTCTCATATAGAAAAATTATTAGGTCCTGCTGGGCTCATAGGTTGTGTTGCTTGCAGTTTGAGCACATAGATTCCTAAACTTTGTTATAGTTAGTTTGAAAATAGCAGACGTACACATTGACACCATAACATGGCAGAGGTTGGACAGTTTTTTTTTTTTGTTGGTAACATTCACCTACCTGGCTGGAGTATGATGCTTTATTGCAATCAATACCAAAAGGTTAAAGGAGCCTAAGGAGGTGGTATAGGTTGCTCTTCTTTTATGTACCTCACTTCATACTATAGGCCCAACCTTTTGATCAAATCCACCTGGTGATTTAGGCTGTATGGCTGTGTGTGTGTATATAGTATAAGTTGTGTGCTTTTATTCAGTGCTTTTGGTATGGGGTCAGGTGGGGTCTGCATTATTGGTGCTGTTTTCTAGCTTAGCTACATTCTTATATGTCTGGTTTCAATGCCATCTTTCATCCTGTTTGAATGTCATGGCAAATACAGGGAATCATGTGCAAAAAGCTCTTTCTGAGGTACTTTGTCCTTGACATCTTTAAATGTTATGTAGTGCAGACACCAATTTACTGCATTATGGGAATAGAGGGGATTCTTGATGTTTATGGTGGGCATTTGTCATGTTTATTTCATACTGTAGTATTATCAACCCTGTCTTATTTGAATCAGCCTCCTCATTCTCTGATCCTCACCAACACCATCTCAAGCACACACACTAATGTCTTTCACACTCCCTCTCTCTCTGAATCTTGCCCGTTGCATTCCCATGTCACCACATTCATCTATGACCTTGTACAGAGGGGATGGAGAATGAGACAGCTTGAGCAAGGGGAAAAGTGACAGGAGTGGTTACCACATAGTGCTACTCTGAAGGCACTTCACCACAGCATTCCAAGTCACCTCTGTAAACCTCTAACATTAAAAGTTCATGTATGCAAAATGTAAATGGCATGAAGGAGATAGCCACTTTCCAAATCTCTTGCCCATCATCTACTGTACATTGAAGAATAACAGACTTTGATCAATGAGGTTAGTTGCAGCTCTTTCAAAGTTACTGTCTTTCCCTCTGAAAGGACTCAGATAAGACTGTGCTTTGTGCAGTTGGCCATGCACTTTATGTCCATGCCCTCACTATAGGGAGCATTGTTTTTTTTCTTTTGTTTTTTTTCTTGTTATATTAAAGTGTAGATAGAGTGGAAAACAATCATTGACACAGGTATTTTTGCTGAAAGAACAATCTTGGAGATACACATTGGAAAAGTAAGACTTGATGCAGGTTTTGCTATCCTGTCTGAACATGTTTTTATTGTAATAGTACTTACAAGAAGTTTGGCATTACTAGTCTTCACACAGTCAACAGTTGATTATTCTCTAAGGTTAAACTCAGTGATTTACTCTTCTATGTTCGGTGTCTACTTGTGATCAAAAGGCAGCTTTTTCTCTGTTTACACGTTGCTTCTCTTATGCGCCACTGGTGCCCAACTAGCATAAAAACTTACTGTCTGTAAAGTATTGGTACTGGAAATTGTTTACACCTCGCAGCTGTGATATTGACTCTCTACATTCCTTTATTATATTATTTCTGTATATACTCATTTACTGAAGCCTTCTCTGTTAAGACAGGAGTCCTTCTAAAACAACATATCTTTTTAATGATCTTACAATTAAATGTAGGTTAATCCCACCCTGATTTTTCTTTCTTAATTCCCATCAGAAGGAATACAAATAGTATAGATAGGTCAGAGCTACATTAAATTAAACTGGGCATAATATATGGCAGGATGTTCAAATTAATTGTTATTTCTTAGTTTTCATTTGTTCTCCAGTTTACAGACATATTTTTATCTTGTTCTCATAGTAATGTTATAATAAGGACAGCCTTACTTGTACACAAATTCTTCAAATGAAGCAGCCATATGAACAAAAAAAAAAATAAGAAAAAATTGTCTTCTGTTAGCCCTCCTTGTGAGTGAGGAGTTACTTGAAAATCCAAATCATTGCTATTGATTCAGATTGCGGGAATGTTTTTTGTAAATTTTGAAAATGCGTGTGCTAAATGTCTATTTTTCTGCTGAAATGTTAATGCAACTAGTTTTGTGAACTTCTGTGTGTTTTTTAAGTTTAAAAATGTTTACAAAAATGTAAAAGACTGGGTTCAGGTGAATTGTATTTTTTAAAAAATAATATATGAAAGGTGTATATTTTGGCACTGAATATTGAAATTATCCTGAAATTTGTGCCGATTGATCATCTCTGACATTGATAACAACTTTCTGATGTGAGGGCTCTCAGGTATTTGCATAGGTTGTGTATTTTTGCGTCCTAAAATATGTGATTTATTTATCAAAAAAGTAATTTCTCATGACTTAAATCAGTCCAACACTGAATGTGGTAAAGGAAGTTGGAGGATTGTTCAGCCCTGTTTTTGACATCAGTGACATTACATGAAGACACACTGCTGTGAAGAAAACAATGTATATTTTTAAGGCATGGGTTTCTCTCTATTAAAGAAATGATTTTGCCTCCTTGGCTGTTTTGTGAACTTTGAAACAGGAAGTCAGACATATTGTTATATACTTTTCTTCAAAACATGCAAACTGTATCTTACATGCAATTAAAAGATTTTATTGTGAGAACAAAATACATTGCTTGAGTCTTGTGAAAAACATGCAAGGTCATGAAACTGAAAAAAGGTTTGAACATGTCTAGAGAAGTCACTTCTCTGCCACTGTTTAGATTTGAACATGAACACAAAGGGGAAATCCAGTCATAGTAGAATTTAAATGATGTTATTCCAGTGGTTTTGCACAGTAAAGTCGAAATCCACAGACAGACGAGGATCAGGAATGGATAAGATCATCTTGCTGAATTATTGACCGAAATTAGATCCTAGTGTGTTTTATTTGAATGAACAAATTATTTTATTGAAAGATTTTAGAAAATGTGTTTTTATTAGCCCAGCCCCTGTCATCCTATACTCAACTTTACAGTGTAATTTACTAGACCACAGTCTGTCTTTCTGCTGTTCAGCTTAATGGCAGACTTGTTCAAATTCACCAGCTGCTCTGTACAATATCATAAAAAACATAAAATGTGTGAAGTCTATTTTAGGGCAACATTTCCATTTAAACCTTAATGGGCCAATTTCCTGGAATTGAATTGTGGAAAGAAACAGATGATTAGAGTGAAACAATTAAGCCCTGATTGTAAAGCACTAGAGTCATGCGGACAGTTTTGCTGATAGAGCAAGCTGGTGTTCATTTTATTTAAGGTAGGACAACAATCAGTCATGTGTCCTACTGCTGACACGGAACGGAGCCATTCAATTAGATTTCACTTTCTAAACACTTATTCATTTATTTAGCCTAATGAAAAACAGATAGATGTAAAAAAATGTATTTATGCAAACAATGACTAATATGTAATTTATTGTCTGAATTTGGGAAAAATTAAAATGAATTAATAAAACAAAATGTCAGAAATTGGCGGCTTCAGTTGTAGTACAAGTAAGTCTTTGGTTTATGCAAAACTCCTTTTTCTATTGGTAAAATCTCTCTCTACAACAGAAATCATTTTTAAAAATGTCGAGTGCATCCAGACCGTCTACACCATCCTGTACAGCCTAAGTGCTTTGCTGTAGTTTGCAATGTAATGACTGGTGTTTGTTCCTCTCCAGTCTTTGTCTATGAACAGGTGGGCGCTGAAGCCTCTAAATGTCAGAGCAGCCTTCTTCACCCCCTTACTTCTTTAATCTGTGTAAAGCACACACACTCACACACATGCACAGAGCAAACATACAAAATCAAAGCTGCCTGAAGGCGGTAGCAAAACTGAGAAGTGTAAAGCCTGAACAGACCCCAAACTGTATCTTTTCATCTTCAAATTCTTCTATTTACCTGCCTGTCAGTTGATTGTTTGTTCCCATCTAGAACATATCTCTGTTTGACTCATACTTTAAACACGGGAGTGATACACCTGCCCTCACTTTGCGGTACTCCTCTGGCAGAAAGCATTCCACGTATTGTGTAAAAAAAATTATAATTTAAAAACTAAATTAAAAAAAAGATTCTTGCATTCATTTTGATGTATTATTAACATTTTGTAATATAACTTTTGTCTTGAGTTAAGAAACATGAACGTTTTCATTGATAATGCAAAGGAATTGAGAACTAAACAAAACTTAAAACTGAACTGTTAATAGTCAGTGTTTACTTGGCACAGAGACTAGACATTGCTCTTTGTGGGAAAGTCAACTATTAGAGTAATATATTTCCCTATTGCTGAGTGGTAAATCACCACCTCATTAAACAATCTCCGTGTCAACTGCAGCTTGTGATTCAGGTGAGGATGTGATGCACTGTAGACGATCTTAAACACTACCCTCAATAATGAATGGCGAAGGACTGTCTGCTAAAGATTGTTAAAGAAATTATTGCTGCATGAAATAACACTTAATGAAGTACTTAACAGTTCAGAATACACCAAAACTTTTTTAAAATATGTTATTGGTTGGTCAGCCAAATCATAAGCGATTCACCATTTCAGTGTGAAGTGAAGGGTGATCCATTATTTGACACAATAATAATTAACTGATTATTTTAAAATGTTAAGGGTCTGGGGTCAGAGATCTGGAAAAAAAAAAACGTTGCAGCAGTGTTGTATTGTTGAACCCTCGGTGAAGATGAACCTGCTGGAATTACCACAATTTCTCACGTCTGATCTGCAGCAGACTGAATGGGTTTTGCTCTTCCTTTCCTACTTTCAGTCTGAAAATTAGGGCAGTGTTGTTTTTTGGATGCTGGATGCACTAATTATTATGGCACATAAAGTCACTCTTGTGTAATATTTTGAACTGTTCAGAACCTCGTGACACTCTCTGCACGCTTTGTTTTTCTGCATTATACACATGAGAATCACTGTTTGTGTAACCTGGAGGGGTTTTTTTTATTAGAAAGAAATAAAGTATTATGCAGATATAGCCTCTCTGGACAAAGAATTCAGCCCGAGTGCTGCTTTTTTTTTCTCCTCGGGCCAGAGAGCTATGGCAGCTTTGTGGTCTCTGGTTATGAGACTTCCTCTGTCGGGTCCTACTGTCCATACCTCTTCTTCCGCAGGTCCTCTTAGACAATACGAGCTGTCTAGAAGTGTCAAAAGCATTGGAAACTACTGCCATCCACACCTACGTGCACAGACACACTTTACACACTCAGATTAACACGAAAACACACCTCATAGTGGCCCTGGAGTCTGTGTACTGGATGAATGTAACGAACATTCATCCAGTACACAGCATCTCAAGAGTAAACCCGGATGAGAAAAATACTGGGGACAAATATGGCTGGGTGAAAAAGCATTAGTTTCCTTAGTTGCAACACAACTGATTATTATGCACACATCTCTCAAAAATGATGTACGGTCTTTAAGTTAAAGATAACAGCATGGATTGGAGCATTTTATAGTCAGTGTTGCGTTTGTCTAAGTGGTGAAGCCTGTCCTCTGGGTTTCAAGTTACACTGCAGGTAGCAGTTCCAGCTCTTTTTCAGCCGAGTGTGAATCCACATCAAGGTTGTGCAATCGCCCGGTGACAAGTCCTATTCCTGTTTTTCCTGCCAGGTAGTGGTGGATGTTTGGACTGGCCCTTAAAACTTCACACACACAGCAGAGACATGCATGCACACACACACACGCACACCGACACACACCCAGTTTGTTTCTGTTACACACCCATATTTTAGAAGTTTTTGCTTGTTGAAGCACTGTAGAATGTTGTACCAGATACAGTGGCTTTGTTAAGTGTTTGCATTGCTTGTTTTTGATGCAATGTGAGAACCTGGGAAAAGATTAATGTAATTCAGTGACTGATTGGTGTAATGCCTCTGTTAAAACATTGGAGGTAAGGTAGTAGAAGGGGTAGTGTTGAGAATCTATGGGGAATACTGTGTGGGTGGTTATCTGTGCCTCTGTGGCTCTTACTACTATGTCTTCCCACCAGTGGCAGGGCTGTTATGTTAGCAATGCCAGGTCCTTGAAATATTTTTAGTTTGTGCTAATCAACAGATAAAAAAACAGATGAAGTTGGGGAGTTGTTTGCAGTTATCTGGAAATAAAGCTGCTAGTGTAGATTTTTGAGGCCAAGCTGTTGACACCCTGTGCACAGACGCTATAATGTTGGTGGGGGCTTGGTGACATTGCAAAGGCCTCTGGGTAATGTTGGGCTGTTTTGTGGTTGGCTTAAAAAGAGCGATATTCATGTGGGGAGGAAGTGACTGTGGGGGAACTTCCACTTTCCTTCCTCTACTTTACCCGCGTTGTGCAGCCATGTCTAGTGGTGGGGGTTGGGGGGGACTGTGGCGTGAACAACATATACAAAGAGATGCACAAGTGAAGAGAGGCATTTAAGACAAAAACAATAATGTACAGCTGCATCTGACCCCAGAAAAGACAGTGGGGAAGTCAGAATAAGAGCAAAACTAGCTAAAGAGAGCAAAGGCAGCGAGGCTAAGTTGGGAAAGTAACCAAGAAAGGACATTAGCACACACATCAGATGCTTCTTGGTAAGTCAGACTGAGAGAATGGGAAGGAAAAGATAGAAACAATAATAGAGAAACTGAGAGAGAGCGGGAGAGAGAGAGAGAGAGAGAGAGAGAGGGATGAACGCATCTGATACAGGAAGAAAGAGAACGTGACATAAAGAGAGAAAGTGGGGTTTTGTAGAGCAGTGCACACACCTGCTGATCAGCTTGAACTGTGAAAATGTACTGGGAAGCGAGACACAGTTTTTAGGGCTGTCATATAGCAGACTGCCACGGTTTACTGTAGGAACCTGACATTGGGATGTGGGGATACATGCACTGGTGGTTTGACATAAATGGATACACAGCTGCAATGAGCCGAACTGAAAACAGGAAACAAATGTGAGCACAAAACCTTTTTTTTTTTTTTAAAGAGAAGGAAGTTTCATCAATTCAGCACCGCAATCAGCCTCATCTGAATGTCAGACTGAGAAGCATATATGATCACTGTAATTTCCAAAAATAGATTGGCCTGGATTTTCAGTGGGACTGTGAGAAAGCTGCTAATTCCTCGGAAGAGTATATTATACGTTTTTTGGGGGGTGGGACCTGACAAAAGGGGTCCACAAAAGGAGTCATGTTCAAAATGATCACAAGTGATTTAAAGGGCAAGCACACATACTGTAAACCAAAGTGCAAAAGTAAATGTCAGCCTTTTAAGTTTATTCCATTTGCATCACATTCACTGCTGCATGTGGGCCGGGGAGACACAGTGTGTTGGCCCCTCCCTGTGTTTTTCTGCACTTTATCATCAGTCAACATTACATCAGACTACTTTCACTGCACCACCATAACACTTCTTGATACTACATTACCTTTTGTGATGACATGTTTTTTGACAGAACAATAACACTCAAACTGAAATCCGTTTTTGATTTATGGCACCTTTGTGTTCTACTTTGTAGTCAACGTGTGTTTTACTGTCTGCAAGGTATCAACACTGGGTTTCTGTGCAATGATGCTGACGAGTTGTCAGTGAGTCTGAAAGGTCTTGCATTACTGTACTTCTCAGAAAAGGCTGGGACAATGCTGTTACTCAAACAGAAGTGTTGTCACTGCTGG